ATATAATAAATACCCCCTTATCATATATCCTAAATACACAAAATAAAAAAATCCTTTTACAAAGTATCTCAATTTAGTGCCAATTCTGAAAGTTGCTTTGTTTTTTTTTTTTTAATGCAAAATTAATTTTTGAGAAAAAATAAAAATTAAGTTCTTTATGTATTTAAAATATTATTAAAATTGGCCATAAAATTGTTTAAATATTACACTATTGACATTTTAATTACAATAGTCAAAGTCAAGATTGTTGATAATATCTTTTTATGAATTTTTTTAATTTATGTACTTTTTTATAAATTTATATAAAAAATTATGAAGATTAACCTTAATTTTAATACAATTAATATTAGCTTGTTAAAATTTAATTAGATAATTATTAAAATTAAAATTAATTTTTTATATTAAATAATATAATAAATATATCATTAATTTATACAATGCACTTTGAAAACATATATTAAAAAATCACTTTATTTATTTTTATTATGTTCTTACGTCGGAAACTTACGTGTTAATTTTGCGTAAAAAAAAGATGGGTTTGTTGAGGAAAATATAAAATATAAAAACGCAACGTCTTGACGGTCATAGACTCATAGTTCGCTGAAACACTGAAACCCCATGTTGCTATGGCTTCCTCTTTCTTCAGTTGTCTGAAACTTACTAAAACTTAGCGAAGCAAAACTTTTGTCCAGTATCAAGCGATGGATTTGGGTTATGAAGATCTTCGTGCGGGTGTATCTTGCAGGTGAAAAGGGACTCAGTGACCAAATATTTTTGGATCTTGGTTCAGCTAATTTATCATGTTTCGTTGAGGCATCAAAGGCTCCAATGCTGCAGCTAAATCAATTGGCTCTCACCAACGAGAAAAGTGACTTTAAGTTCTTGAGGCAGAATACCCAAATTCACTCCTAAAATATAGTGGTAGAAACGGATCCACTCCAAACAAAAAAAGAAGACAAATTCACTCACAAAGTTTTCAATTAGATCAATCATTTAATTTAAGTTTTCAATTAGTAATCCTCTAATTTGACATTAGCAATCCATTATTAGTGACATTATTAGTGACATAATAAATTAATAGACTATATATTAACATATGTCACACATTGGTGGGAAGACACAGCAGTCACACATTCGTTGGAAGACACAGCAATCACATGAGTGAGAAACACATTAAGTACAGCCCTGATGTTCTGCAGAATTACTTGTTGGACTTCTATGAGGGATCCCAAAAATCATTGCCTAATCCCAATAGGCGGTGATAAGAAAGTAGGTTGATACATTTGTTTCATCTTCTTTACCCCTTTCTTTTTGTAACTTGGACTTCTGATTCAAAAAATAGATGGTTAATAGTTAACACATGAAGGAGATTTATCCCATCTCCCCAATGTTGTGGCCTGCCTGAGAAATGATAATTTGGTTGTTAATAATTGCTATTGTTCATAAAGAATTGTGGGCTACTTCATTAAGGAGGGCAGTGATACATACCCCTCCATTCTCCATTTTTTGCTGCACAAATTACTAGATTGAGTTCAATGGAAGGTGTTTCAATGAACAATTGGAACAAGAATTCAAGCCAGCTTTGAGTCCCATTTGTTAGAATATTAATTACACAATGCCCCCACCTTCTTTATTGTTTTCTTTTCATTTTCATTTTCTTTAACTGCATTTTGCATTAATAGCAACTTGTGTGTGGGGTGACCCTGAAAGCAACTTGGTTGTGGGGTGACCCTGAAAGCAACTTGGGTGGTTTAGCAATCAATGATAAATATTTATGAAATGGGGTCCAGAATGTTGTGGGTGGTTAAGCCATCATTTTCAGTTCAGAGTTGCAGTGCATAGAGAGGAGTTGAGGCGCTTCTGTCCACCTTACTTAAATGAACTTGAAAACTGAAGGACTTTCTCAACTTGGAAATTAAGTGGCACGCATGTGTTAGGAATCGGTCTCAAACTGCATTGGAACTGGTAAGAACATGTGAGCCAACGAACAAAAACCCAACACAGAACAGAACCTTCTCAAATTGAAGACCTGTTGAAACTTAAAAGAACAGTGTATATGACCTTTCAATATCATTATATCAGAATCATGGAACTATCTTGACCGAGACGAGTTAAAGACCTGTTAGAGCTAATTTACAATGCATTCCAATTATATCAATTACTTAAGTTAGTTAAGTGTAATAAAGATTTGATATCAAATCTCAGTTTCAACTGAGAGGGAAAGATTCAAAGAAGGGGGAGTGTTATTCGTTTGTTGCTGACTCAATCATAAAACAGCATCCATTCATTTCATTAAAAGAATAAGGTACAAAGTTTAGCCTCCATATCTTGGTGACAGCTTCTGCAGGCTTGCAGCGGCATTCTAGCACGGTGCAACCACATGAACTAGTTTACATCCCTCTTATCAACGGGACCAAAACACAACAATGATTCTCTCCCTTGCTCAGCAAAAACATCCACAGCCGACAGCCAAAACTCACTACAGAGTCAGAAATCTGGATTTCTGAAGTTACAGCTGCTTTCCACCTTGTTGCACAAGCTAAGCTGATGCCTATGTAGTTGCAGGTCTCAATCTGCCAGGGACCAAAAGAATCTGAGAAACTACTGTTTTTCACTACCTCCATAAATCCCAAGTATACATAAGAAAAAGTTTTGCCTACTGCCAACAGTCTAGACTTCCGTGTCACAATGCCCACACAATGGTTTCTGAACTGTAACAGCATTGGAGTTTCTCTTAAAGGTTTCACCACAGATTTCCTCAAATTCGTTGTCATCGTCTCCATATTCCATTAACTTCACCATAGTACCCGAAACAACTAAAACGTACAAGACTAATATACAGCAGAATTTGGAAGAAGTTATCCACTCTATTCGAAGTAAAGGGTAAATAATATCTCTAGTTTTTGACAAATATTATAGCATTCATTGTACTACTCGGTCAAATTTATCAACAGAAGCAGTAAAGTAAGCAAATTTAGAATCCATTCTTACCAGAGACGTTATCAGGTTTAACTTTATCTGCAGCACTTCTCTTCTAATGCAAGTTCCCAGCGGTTGTTGAATTAAATTTTGGTGGAGGTGGTGGAGGAGGCATGGTTCTTGGAAGCAGTGGTGGTATTCCATGAGATGATGACTGAAATGATTTTAAAAGAACAATCCAAGGCCAATCTCCTCAACAACAGTCAGGTAATGGAGACAATATGTAACATTGTTAAGCAATCTACAATGAAAATAACTAATAGAGGCTATATGATGCAAATGATGGCACAAAGTCATTGGTGGACTGGGTACAACTGAGGATACATAACGC